GTAAAATTAATGAAACTAAATTTAACATTAAAATAGTATTTTTATTTCTGTCGAAAACAACTATGAACGTATGTATTTGTTTCTGCGGTCCTTCAATCTGTATAGTGATTTATATTGGCCAGTGATTGCATCTGATTTGAACAGCCCTGCTTTAAGGACAGCATTCCGAATCGATTGCAGTCATAGAAGTTTTGGTGTAGCTTACGAAAAAAGTATAGAGTATGCCTCTCGGTTTTCGCATATAGCTTCAGACCTCTGTCCCTTATGTGTTTTTTGACCGGATCTATTCTAAGGTCTCTTAGCATGTCATTCGTGCTGATGTACCATAACACTTTGAAGAGCCTTCGGAGATCCTGACTTTAAGCAACTTGTAGCTTCTGAATAGTAGAGTCTGCAGCTTTGCTATACGCGACACACCCATTAAGTAGTGCTGGTCTAATTACCTGGCAAGAGGTAGGTACGAGGTAGATAGTGGCAGCCGCCTTGTATTCAATAAAGCTCACTTGAGCTCAAATAATGGTCCATCGTGGTAACATAGGAATAGTTTGTGGATAGCACATAGACAAAAAGGTCAGTAATACGACCCTACGCCGAAAACTATACCTACTCCTAAAGGGCAAATAACTATACGATAGACGAAAAACAAAGATGCTTTCCCTGTGATTTAAGCCTTAAATTATATATATAAGAAAATTAGACAATGAATAACAATATAACGATGAAAGCAGAAAACTTCAAAAATGTTCGTTATACCTGTTATATACAGGTATATTTAAAATAAAACAATAATTCAATAGATATGAATCAGAAGATGATAACTACATACATAATTTAGTTATATGTACACTAAAAAGACAAAATGAACAACATGGCAAACCTTTGGCACTGAATCGAAGACTAGGTACAATAAGAACAAGTGATTTCCAAATACTTCATAACTCCGATAAATAGCAAGTGGTAAGAGAGAAGATCATAGACCAATTTAAACAGGCACATAATAATGCTGAAAACGTCTATAGCACACGGAAAAAGGAAGTGCAATTCGGAGTGGGAAAAGTAGTATATTGCCGAAATTTTTGGCACAGTAAACGCTCTGAGGGTTATAATGCGAAAAGTTATACTTTAATTTCAAAATGCAATATATGCGTTTCATATTTGCGATGCCACATTGATTCACGTCTATTTTGTTTTTTTTAAATCTCAAAAAATATTCGTTTTTGAGAAGAATCATCAGTTGAGACGAAAAATGGTTTCTCTACAAATATCTAAATTGAGTGAAAACGCATTACATTCAATAATTTTGTATAAATATTATATATATTTAGTTGAACAAGACAAAACCTCACAAAGCAGTTATTGGCCATAGAGCTATATTTAATGGGATTGTCAATGATTCACATCTCTACCGCCAATAATCAATAGTGTTGATGCAAGAAATTTTTTTTTTTTAAAAAAAAAGAGGATTTAGTATCAATTACAAAAAAAAAAGTATTGTGCTTTATAGGAATTGTGCTTTCGTGATCTAATAAAAATTTTAGCTTTAGTAAAAAAAACTTTTCAACACATCCACATTCTTAATAATGCGCTGTTGTCCAAATATTTGTTCTAAATTCTGTTATACTTTCTTAAATAGATCTTAAAAAGTCCTATGGAAACAGTCTGCTTCTATTTTTTAAAGAAAAAAGCGGATAATATTTAATTTAAGACAATATAATATAACAGATACTATTATTATATTATTTTATATTATTTTTATATTATTTTATTTATTATTTTATATTATTTTTATATTATTTTATTTATTATTTTATATTATTTTATATTATTTTTATATTATTTATCTTATTGTTATATATTATTTTTATAATTTTTTATTTATTATTATATATTTTTTTTACATTACTTTATTTATTATTTTATATTATTTTATTTCATTATTATTTTATTTTATTATTATTTATTTTAATAATTGAATGTATTAGAAGCAAGTAGAACTTCATTATGAGTATAATTTTATTGTTTCGAAATCAATGCTATAATCATTATGATTTGTTTATTTTATCTTACGATAATCTCATTGTTTATATACAGATACTTTTTGCGTATTTGATCATCCCTAAAAAAATATGTCATTGAAGTAAAGTAGAGACTTCCAAGCGTATGCAAAAATTGTATGTATAGATCTTATCAGTTATTTACTTCTTATAGCTTCCTTAAGGTCATAAATCAAACGATGTAAACATCATTTATGCATAAATATATTTATAAAAGAAAATTATTATAAACAAATCAAAAACAATTAATTCAAACGCAATACTCATCCATACAGAGAGATCAATTCAAATGAAATTGTTGACAAATCACTTTAAAGTGGATCGTATAAACAAAAGATTTATAGTGTCTGCAATCGTAAAACTAAGCATCGGAAGGAGGGATGCGACTACAACCATTATAAAAATAAACAATTTTTCGCTGACTTTTCTAGTTAATTCGATATTTCAGGAAAGGTTTTATGTCTTTAACAATTTTTTACACAAACAACAAGTATCGAAAACTTAAAGCAAATGGTGATTGCATGCACCATTGATGATAATAAATACAAGTATTTGTAAGATGCATATATAGAGATTAAACACATATTTTAGTATCTTAAAATTCAGAATAAATAAACAAAAATATTTATGTATATGAGAAAACAGTTCATTTTTTTTTGTTGATTATTTCTACAAAAATGTTTGCTCTTAATTATGTTTCCACTTCAATCAATATGCGTGGTAGTATAAATAAGCTTAACTTGACTTATACTTTTCCATGAAATGTATATATATATTTATATACTTTTATTAAGCATGCCTATTTCTATTAATATTTTCCTAATAAGTTATATTTTTTTATATTACTTTAAAAGTCTTAACTTAAGCTAAGCAGTATTATTTCATGATTTTTATAGCTTTCATATCATTGGCTGATAAAATGCTTCATTAAAAATTATGCTCAAATAATGCAAGGATTATTTTTATTCCCAACTTATGAAAATATGGTTGTTTTTTTGCACATACACGTGTCAATCAATTCAAGCAAATTATTTGGAAGAAATTCAAAAATCTTACACTAATGACGACAGCTTCATTTCATACTTACTTTCATACTTCATACTTATAATAGCAAATATGCTCGATCAGTATATAGTCTTCGAACTTATAAAAGAAAAATTATCAAGAAAAATACAGTCAACTTCAGGAATTGGAACCATCAGCAAGTTATCAGACAACAAAGAGAAACTGGCTTTTAATACAAGTGAGGGATGGCTAACAGGTTTTCTAAAAATATACGCATTTCGCAATATAAAAATGAAGGGAAAAATTTCATCAGCAGATGAAAATGTTGCAAAAAGCTTTCCGGATAAATTAGCAAAAATAATTGAACAGGCCGATTACACTCCAGATCAAATATTTAGTGCCGATGAAATGTGGTTATTTTGGAAGAAAATGCCTAACAGAACGTAACATATATAGCAAAATCTGAAATAAGAGCTGGTGGGTTTAAAGCAGCCAAAGAGCGGGTGACATTTTTGCTTCGTAGTAAAGTTTCTGTAGTGTTAATAAATAAATCTCTTAATCCACGAGCTTTAAGAGGTAAGAACATTAAACAACTCTCAGTTAATTTGATGGCCAATAAAAAGGCATGAATGACGACTGACCTGTTTACAAATCGGTTCAACAACTGCTTTGTTCCTGAAATCTAGAAATATATGGAACATAAGGGTTTGGAATTTAAAATACTTTTGCTCCTTGATAATGCACTCAGTCACCCATTGCTAGATCATCCAAGCATGGAAGCGTGGAGAAAGTTTTCGATTATGGATAGTATTACACATGCTATTATTGCCATTAACCAGTTTTGCCAATTGACATGAAATGCTTGTTGGAATAAATTTCGCCATCATGTATCATTGTAATTGTTATAGAGAAATATTATTCGTAGAATCTTTAGTTACCTACGACATGGTGAGTTTTACATCAACATTAGCAAAATTAAGGATCCAAAATATTGCTGGCGCGGTCATGTTGTGATAAAATAAGAAGATATTTTAGCGAAAAAGTGCTTTATAGCGGCAGTCAGAAGGCAGTTTAAGCACTATTTACACTAATCAAGCTGAGTACACTAATCAAGTAAAACGGTGACTAAATAATATGCACCGTGAAAATTATGAAAAATTATTTTACAAGAAATGTTTGTAAAATTCAAAGATATAATAATAAATCTGAAGATTAATGACGTTTCCGAAAAAATCGTCGAAAATTAATCAAAACAATAATATTTCGGTACCCATATTTTGGGTATGTACAAAAAGAAATTATATTAGGCATTAAAGTAAAGTATGTTCAATGGACTCTACAAACTGATAAATCATATAATAGTTAAATCATACAATAGATGAACCATACAAGTTAAGTTAATAGACTTTTTCTACCACTATTACAATAGTACCAACTGTGTATAATTTTGTCCCTTTTAATAATAATAATAATTTAATGTAATAATGTATCTATAAAGAATATTAAACGATCGCGCCTACTTATATACATATATCCACTACTTTAGAACCACCATAGTACTTTATTAAGAACTTGCTGGGCATAACATTTATCTGAACCTCAGCTTATTTTTCGTTAACCAATGAACTAAATCCAAACTCTAGGGCGAAGTACCTAGTACTCCTGTTCCTTATTCTTAGCTAACTTTAAAATTACGTTTAGTATTAAATCATAAATAAATAAAATAAAAAAAAAATCTAACCTCAAGATATACAACAATATAAAATTTTCCACAATAAGCGAATTTATAATCAGAATATATTCAATCAATTTAAAAAGACATTAATAAATTATTTTGCTTATGATTTCTCTAATTAAACTATTCAAATAAAGTTATTTCAATAAATTAAATTTTTTTATTTATTTAATATTAAGTTTATTAAAAAAAAAATAAAAACTTACCGATTCTATCGAATAACTCGCCACCGGCTGCATATTCTAAGAATATATACTCGATGTCCTGATGAGAACGTTTACCAAAGTAGCGTAAAATATGCGGATGTTGTAGCATTTTTTGGATGCACACTTCTTTACGTACTGAGAGCATTGCATCGGGATGTTTATTCAAGTCCACCATCTTCATGGCGACCGCTTCACCGGTTTGACGATTAATTAACAGTTTCACTCTGCAAAAAAAGAAAGAAACGTATATTAAAATATAAGTAAACCGACATTGTCATATATATCACATAAATAGATAAAAATTTATATACCTAGATAGAAATGTGGGTAGAGTATTTTCACAGGAGTTATAGTTATATGAAAATATGAAATAATATTAAAAATAAAAATAAATTTAAAGAAAAAAAACAAGAAATAAATAAATTTTAAATAAAAGTAAACTTTAAAACTTTTAAACTGGTTAACAAAATTAAATCTACCGATATATTTAATATGATTTTGCTCATCTTGACCAACCGAACTAAACACAAGTACAAAACAGAAGGAATAAGTTTCACGGCACAAAAAACGTGTTTGCGAATTTCCATTAAATCAGAAAAACTGTTGGTATAACCAATATTTCGCAGTAGTCAGGAGGGAGGAAGTACTTGAGTTCGTCCATGTAGAGACATGCGCACAGTGTAATCAAGTGTAACATAAGGCAGCTACCAAAAGGCGGCAAAGGCAGAAGACTGAACGCAAAAGGCAAAAAGCAAGTTTAAGAGCTTTAAAAAAGTGGAGGAAAAATTTACGAGCTCATAAAAATGTGCGAGTATAAAACAACAAATAATATCAGACACTATGGAGTATATGCCGGAAGGAAATGTTTGAAATGTTACCGGTTTATTGACTCGGCGACTCTCACATGTCTTTTGTATTGTGCCATGCTTCTTTGACCACATTTTTATTTGACAATATATAATAGAGAGATCTAAACATTTCAAATAACATTGATTGTAACAGATTTTATAAATATACAATAATATATATTATATATTGGCTATTATAAATAAACACAATCAAATGCTAAAGTCAGTCACAGAATAAATAATAAAGAACAGGAATTGATCTGTCATTATTACAACAGTCATTTCTAACACTTCCTCCAACTCTTGAATTATTTTGTAGTTCTTTTCCTTTTATGTAATTACCAAACTTTTCCAGAATTAGAAAAATAATATGGGGAGCTACAACTGCAACAACACATAGCATGCTTCAAATGCAAAAAAGGAAAACAGTTCTAATAGATCTTTTGTAAAGAAAGCTTAAAAATATACACAAAATAATTATAAATTTGTTTTATTTTGGTAGAGAAAATTATACATTGTATACATTATTATATACATTATACATAAAATTTGTAAATGAGGTGCAAATTAAGTTGCTCACAGTTAAAAAGAGCTCAATCATTAAAATAATTTTATAATAAAAAAATTTAACAATAAAGAGATTTCATAATAAAAAAAAACTAATAAAAAAGATTGCATAATAAAAAAAATTAATCATAAAAAAGATAATTTTTAAAAAGTATTTATCGTATGATTTTTCTTTATAATCCGCTATAAAAATGGAACATCCTATATTTTGTGTAGTTTTCCCTGAAGATGACTATCGAAGATAGTCGAAATATCGGAAATAAAGTATAAACGATTTTTAAATATAAATAATAAATCAGTGTCTTTTTATTTATATTTAAATTTGACCAATTAGCCCGGTAACAAATTATTATAAAAAAGCTAATAATAAAAAAAATTAATCATAAAAGAGCTAATAATAAAAAAAATTAATAATAAAATGAAATCATAAAAAAAAATTAACAATAAAACAAGTTCATAATAAAAAAACTTAAGAATAAAAACAAATTAACAATAAAAAAAATTTGATAATAAAGAAAGATTTCATGATAAGAAAATATAATAAGAAAAAATATTTCATAATAAAAAAAATTTGTAATAAAACATTTCATAAGAAAAAAAAAAACACTAATTAAAAATGTTTCATAATTAAAAGTAATTTATTAATTAATTAGTAATAAAAAAAATTCATAATAAAAATAAAATTCAACAAAAAAAGATTTCATAATAAAAATAAAATTTAATAAAAAAAGATTTCATAATAAAAATAAAATTTAATAAAAAAAGATTTCATAATAAAAAAAAATGTATAATTTAGAAAACTTCATAACTATTAAAACTATAAATAAAACAAAACTTTTATTAAATAAAACTATTAATAAAATGAAACTATTAATTAAACAAAATTATTAATAAAACAAAACTATTAATAAAATAAAACTATTAAGTTTTATTTTTTTTATTTTATTCATAATATTATTTTATTAATGGTTTTATTTTGATAATAGTTTTAATTTGATAATAGTTTTATTTTGTTAATAGTTTTACTTTATTGAAAGTTGTATTTTATTAATAAAATGAAAAATTAAACTATTAATAAAATAATATTAAATTAAATTATTATTAAATAATATTATAAATATAATAAAATAAAATAAAATTTAATAAAGTATAATTACTAATAAAAAGAAATGAACTTCATAAAAAAAAATATAATTTAATAAATAATAAACTTCATTAATAAAAAAAGATTTCATAATAAAAATAAAACTTAATAATAAAGAGTTCATAATAAAATAAAAATTTTAATAATAAAAAGAAGTTTCATAACAAAAAAACTTTAATAATAAAATCAAAAAAGATTGAAAATTGAACCCATTCCAAAATTAATGAATGGGTGAATAGGCTTAAAAATATTTCACGACCTCTTGTGCTAAATTTTCGAATGTTGTTTCGAATGTATTTTAATACATTTATTTATTCAATATACATCTTTCAATTGACAAGAAACTAATAATATTAATACAATATATACTAAAATCATTTTCAACCCTACAGCGATCCGTTGTTAAGGTGTATCTCTATTTCTAATTACTTCTAAAAATATGTGTCTGTATTTATGCTTTTTAACTATGTGTGGACTATAACCTAAGAAGATACGTTATGAAGACTTGTATTCAACTTGTACAATGCTGTAGACTACTGAAAAGTCTAACTACCACTGTAGATTTGATTTAGTCAAGTTTTTGAAAATTAAGACTTTACAAACTAGTTGTAGCAGGATATATGAATATCATGTATGCTGCTATTTCTTGATTCTTATGACCAAACATTTGTTTGTTAAATCTTATAATATAAGAATATCATAAAGTCTAAAGATAAGAGGTATAAGCTTGATAATCACTATCTTTATGATTACATAAAATATATCGATACATAAATCAAATTACTTACTCGCCATAAGCACCCTCACCGAGAGTTTGTGCAAAAGCCCATCCCTCAACAAACTCACGAGGCGATTCGCCAATATCAGCGCCTACAACGCGAGTTATTCCATATGCATTAGTAGGAGCGACTGCGGCGGAAACGGCTTCTGGAGCGATTGCGGCTGCGGAAGCAGAACCAAGAATTGCCTGATTGCAATTCTCATCACTATCTATCTTCTGTTGAGCATCTTGAGTACCAATATTATCAATAGCCATCTTGCATTGCGAACCTTGATTTTTGTTTCCTTCACTAGCCATTTTATTTGTTATAGTAAGTATGTTATGTTAAACCTATGTAGTAATCTCTAGCACCAATATCTGTTATAACTACCAGTTTTCTTAAACGGTAGGTAGTATGACTTTTTCTAATCTTAAAAATTATATTTTTAAGTTTAGTTTTAGTATATTTTACAACCAAACATAGCTATTTTAAACAGCTCCACACTTTTTCTTTTACTGAGAAATTGTGAGAGATAAGTTAGGACTGTTATTTTCTTTGGGTTTGTTGCGCTGTAAATAAAAGAAAGAAAAATTATATTAACTTTTTTGAAATAATATAAAATAAAAAAAAATTATAGCATATATAGAATAATAAACAATTTTAATTTATCAAAACAATTCTTAATGTCAGAAATGAATTTTACCGCCACAAAAGTTCAGTTTGTCTAATAGAAAAAACAATTATATATATATGTGTAAAATTTTATATATAAGAAAGCAGTATTCCCATTCCTTCTAATTTTTTTTTTTTTTTTTTTGAAGTACTTATACTTATTCTTATTCTACGTGTGCATACAAATTAAATATTTTATTCTTTGGCATGGTCATGGTTCACACATTTGTTAGAGGTTAAGCTTAGCGCATGCTCACAACTTTGCACGAGTCGGAGTTTCTGCACTTCTATTTAAATTGAAAATATTAGGGAATAGGTTCCTTGAACATAGTATCATGGCGCATTTGTTGTTTAAAACACCCTTCAAACGAAGTAACCGTTTAAAAAAAATATGCGTACATTAAAGTACTTAAAGATTTTACTTTTTTTGTTTAATATTTTGCTGCATCCATCGAACAAACAAAGCATACGAAATTAATATAGGGAAAGAACAGATAAGTGGAAGTATCAGGTTCATGGTATTCAGAACGTATAGTTGACTTAAACATAACTGTTAACGGGAGCGAAAACGAAAACAAGTGAACGAAAGTGTGCTCATCATCGGTTCGTAAAATTTTCGTCTGAGATATTAATCGTCTAGTTTTGGTCTTTGTAATGGTTGGGTGAATTATGTCGCATATTGGAGATAGAGGTAGATAGGTAGATAGGTATGTAAGAAGCTTGTGTATAGCTCCGAGAGAAGTTTTAATTTGCTACCGACAACATTACTTTGTTGCGTATAATAATGGCAATAGCAGAGATGGGGTAGGCGACCGACGTGTAATGAAAGAAACAAAGGTGGTGATGGTAATGGTTCGTAGAAGCAAGGTAACATTTGATAGCACTGTTGTTAATAGTACTATTGATATTTTTCTCTTTAACGTTACAGGCGGTTTTGCCAACATATCCAGCATAGCTACATGCTGTTAGTGTTGTTGTAGATATGTTGATGCTGTTGTCGAATAACAATAGAAATATTCAGTGATACTACGTGCCGTTCAACAGGCCACTATAATTGTATATTTCTTTTTCGGGTGTCTTTATTTTTGCTACATGCAACAGTACAATTTTTGTATTTTAATCTGTAAGATATTAATAGGAAAACGAAAACTTTATTTGATGTTTGGAATTGTTTGATATAATTAAACAAAACCACATTTCGCGTAAGTTTTGAGTAAACTATTTTATACATAATTATTCTCGAACAATAGTAAATACCAATTACAAATTCATATTAATAAAGTTCTATACACACCTACCTAGTTTTTCAGAAATGTATTAGTAAAGAAATCTATGCCACACTCTTTTAAAATGGATAAAAATATTTAATTAAATTTTGACAGAAAATTGATTTTATTTTATAAAATCTATTTTGTTTTGTATTTTAATATATGTATAACACGTAATCCATATAACAATTTTCTATATGTTTTTAATTTTGTTTGTTATTAGTTTTAAAAAACAAAGCATTAAAATCCAACTCTTATTATTTTTATATTTGTACATATCAAAAATAAAAGGGAAATAACCCTTAATCATCGAACACCTGCTTCATCTTGGCCCTTACTAGTAATAGTGTATTTCATACACCTATATCTGACAAATTATTGTTTTTTAAGAAGAATCAAACATACTTCCCATTTCAGTATGAATTTTCAATGCCTTTAAAGCTTTTCTTACAAAGAATCCAATGTTGATGCTAAATCTTTCCTATACGAAAAAGTATATTCGTATATGTGGTTAGTTTATTTTTTATGTTCTTCTTATAAAATATGAAAATTATTTTTTTTAAATAATTCTACTGATGACAAATAAACGTCACTACGTGAACATATTGACACTCCAAATATTATATATTGGTACCGCACTTGCAACGGCCAAGCTGGCAATTAAATAGAAACATCTGAGTATAGTTAAACAAAATTGAACAGATAAATTTTTCTGTCAGATGTCTAAATTGACATGGTCCAAACTGGACAAGAAACGTACTTATAAACTATCTCAACTAAGGTGTAATCTGCTCAATACTACAGTAGTAGTACATACTTTGGGACTGTGTCTATCCTATAATGACTTTTGTCGGGGTTTTGGCTCATTGGATGAGGAGTTAGTTAACTTAACTCCACCTAATGTGTCAGTGTCCATCATTGGTCACTGATAGCATTTTTTTATCCATCTGACAGAGCTGTTCACCCTTTAAAACTAGGGACTTTGCCAAGTTTATAAACTGGTTCACATTTACTACAATAGGGGTATCGTGCCCTTGGGTGTTTACGTACTCTAACATCTAGTCTGCGTGTAAATAACGCTAATCAATGGTATCACAACAAACTATAATTTGAACTCAAGTGGACACAAGGTCGCCACTCCAACCTAACCAAACCAAGTATTGTATATAAATTTTTTTTCATATGATTTTCATAATTTTTTACAAAAAAAAGCTTTTGCACTCATTCCATTTAAAAAAAATAAAAGCTCTAAGATAGTTGCACCAAAACTGATGGGACGAACAAATGAACGAGCTTAGATTGTTTCAATTTGACATGTATCATATCATATTTATGATATAATGCAGACTATTGTATCATAATCATCTTGATAAGCATACGCTACTGTAAAAACTATAACATTTAAAGTTTCAAAAAAAAAATAATAATATTTAAAGTTTGAAAAAAAAAATTAATAATAATATTCAAATAAAGTTTGAAAAAAAAAATTATAATAATATTTAAATAAAGTTTAAAAAAAAATAATTACATTTAAATAAAGTTTGAAAAAATATATATATATAATATATTTAAATAAAGATTGCAAAAAAAAAATAATTATTTTTAAATAAAGTTTGAAAAAAAAATATATAATTATATTTAAATAAAGTTTAAAAAAAAATAATTACATTTAAATAAAGATTGAAAAAAAAAATAATTATAAAGTTATAATTATAATTATAATATGTGTATATATAATTAATAATATATATATATATATATATATAATATATATATAATATATATATTATATAATATATAATATAATATTAATATTTATAAATATATATATAATATAATATATATATTAATATTTATAAATATATATATAATTTATATATAATTATATATATATCTTTATATTATAAATATATATAGTATATATAATATCTATATATAATTATATAGTTATAATTATTAACTTTGAAAAAAAAAAAAATAAAATTTAAATAAAGTTTTAAAAAAAAAATAATTTATATAAATAAATTCTGTGAAAAAAAAAAATATATAATTATATTATAAATAAAGTTTGGAAAAAAGAACATTTAATAAATTTAAAAAAAAGTTTGAAAAAAAAAATAATTTTTATTATAAATAAAGTTTTAAAAAAAAAAAATAATTTATTTAAATAAAGTTTAAAAAAAAAAAAAATAATTTATTTAAATAAGATTTGAAAAAAAAAATATAATTATATTTAAATAAAGTTTGAAAAAAAAAATAATTACATATAAAGTTTGAAAAAAAAAAATATATATATAATTATATATAACTATTTATGAAAAGTAAAGTAATATATGTATCTATGCAACATTTTCATGACATATCGTATCTGAAATCGAAATCATTTATTGCAGTGTATGCATTCCTATAGGTAAATTAGTAACAGGGAACCATGCGCTGAAAGTGGCACTCAACTAAACGCTGCTACACCCATTTTTATGGATTTGAAATATAAATAAAGAAAACAATAAGCACATATTCATATAAAAAGTACAAGTATTTTCTAGATTGGACTCGCTGTTTAAGTATAGCAAATAACAAAGAAAAGCACAAAAATAAAATAAACCAAAAAAAAAAAACCAAAAAAAAAGCGGGAGTAAGGAGCATAATAACGCGTCACAAGGATAGTAGCAGCAGCAGCAGCAGTGGCGCAACAGTGGTAGCGCGACCAATGCTAGCAGCAACAGCATCACATGCCGGCATTATTTAGCTAGCTTTTGTTCACTGTTCGAGCATTCAAGCTCGCTTTTCTTTGTTGCCTACTACTACTAGTGCAGCAACAACAACAATAACAACACGGTAGCATCATCTGCAATGAAAAAAAAGTAAAGCAACACATCACAGCATACAAAACCGAAGGAAACACACTAAACTCACCGCAAAGATTTGAGTATGTTCAAATGTTCAAAATATTTCAATATCCGTTTTTTTTAAGGTAAAACCTTTTAAGTTTTTATTTTTTATTGTATTCCTCCTTTTTATACTTTAGTACATTTATTTCAATGGCAACGTGGTAGCCAAATAAAGAAAAAGGAATGCAAATAAAAGGAAAGAAGTTATATCAAGGCAACAGTGAAGTGGTTTTTCAGGCATTTCAAGTTTTTCATTTTTTGATGCTTTATTTAAAAAATTAACTTTAATATACTATATAATATTAAATATAATTAAAAATTATATTTTATAGGATATTATAATAAATCTTAAACGTTTTATAAAAAAACAATACCTGCAATTAATTTATTTATAATATCACATTTTTTTTAATATTCACCATTTAACTTTTAACGTTTAAATTTAAAACCGGGTATTTTTAATTTAAATCCAAACAGTTTCTTTAGGATATCAGACATTATCACAAAACATTTATGCAAACTATTATATAGAAAACGTGCAAGTGCGAACATTTCTAAGTATTGTCCATCTTGTATATTTCAGCCGTCCCGTTACTTTACAAAACAAAACGAAAAAAAAACAACGACAATGTCCGGTAATCACCATTGCGGTATGTACACTGCAAAATACGAAAACCAAATGCAATAATAAATCAAAGAACATTCACTAAACGTACCCACGTCACGGCTTTTTGTCGAACCTTTTGTATACATTTAATATATTTATATTTATAAAAGCTCTCAAGTTAACTTCATCAAAACTACATTTTAAAGCAACTACTGAAATCAAACTGCGAAACTTCTTCGCTTAAGAGGAGCAGAGCATAGCATACAATATTTCTCAAAACCTGCAAAACAAATCTGAAAAAGAAAAACAAAAACAAAAAAAAAACGTTATTTTTATGCCAGGCATTACAACAACAACAACGACAAGTATTCACAATAAAGAATCAAATAATGCATTGAATACAACAAATACAGGACAAACAATATCACAACTGAGAGCGCTGTAGTGAGTGAGACAAGCATATTTCTGTGCAACAATATTACTTCCAGCTGACGTACGTATAAAAGTTGACTATATACACTTAAGAGGTACAAAAAAAAAAACAAAAAGTATTTTTTCCGACAAACAACATTATAGGGAGAACTTCGCAGTTTCAGGAGAGTAGCATGCACAACTACCCAAATTGTACGTCCCTACAGTAATTAGTAAACATATTCTAGGGGTTGGGAGAAAAAAAAAATGAATGTTTTTAAATAATCCTTTCAACAGGCAAGTTCATAGCACAGTTCAACAAAATTAGAAAATAAATAAAAGAAAAAAATTAAAAAGAAATGTGTATAGTGTTAAATATACACATACACACACATCCACACATACGAAAATATTTATGTACATGTGCATAAAATGTAGACTCGTACTTAACAACCAAATAGGGTGGAAGCGAAATTATGCACTTCTAAATTATAATTATGATTAAATTATAATATAAAATTGCTAAATTTTAATATAAAAAAACTTATTAATAAAAAAACCAATTTCAAAAAAAATCTATACACTAAAATAATTTAATAAATAAAATATATGTATATACATACATATTTTTTATCAGGCGTCGCGGTGAACTTCTTCTGCAAAGATTTGCGTATTTCGAAAATGCACTGCCAAAAATAATTGTGCACTATTAAATATATTATTCAGTTTTAGAAACTGTTGGTAATATTCTAGACCAAGGCTGTTTAAAGTACGGCCCGCGGGTTACATGGGGCCCGTGGCTAATGTTTGTACGGTCCACATGTTTTTAATTTACTATAATTACGCAAATTTTCATTTGCTGTACTGATAAAACCACGTTATTTTATTTTAATGATATATCAAAAAAATTAATTTAAATTGATAAATTGATAAATTAATAAAACTAAAATTAATATTATAACAATATTTTTATTTTTGGTGAAAACAACTATGAACGTGTGGCCCTCCAATCTTTACAGTGACTTGTGTTGGCCCGCGATCGCATCTACTCTGGACAGTCCTGTTCTGGACTATTAACTATTTTCTTTTGACTAACTTCAACTGTAAGTGTAAATGGTTTAACAAGGATAAGACAAAGAATTATATTTAGAAACAATCGCTACTTTCAGGGCGTCACAGTCACAATTAGCAATAGGTGTCTCGAAGTTGTTATATCAAGTAATACCCAAATATAAAATGAAATAAATCTATTAAAAATTATTTTTCTTATCTCACATATATATCAGTACTATCAGTACACAATCTTTAAACCTTTCTGTAGACAACTTCCGTATCAGTAGGTAAATGTACACTTATTGTTTGTTGTTGTAAACTAAAAGTATGTACAGTGTGACCTCGATTAATGCAACTAATAGAATTCGAGGCTGTTGCAAAAATCGAGTTTAGTTTATTTAGTGCATCATAAATTTTTAAATCAAATAAAGAGACGTTAACCCAAGGTTAATTAGAAAATAATTTGATTACTTATTTTTATTTATAACAACATAATTGCAATATTACTTTATGATAATAACGTGTTACTTCAGCTTGCTTTTTACTGCAATTAAGATTCATTGTAATTGCCTCATTTTTTAGATCTTTAAGTATTACAACTTTTGTAAGATGTACTGAATTTTTCTCAGCCCATTGTATGCATGTGTTAAGTTTTTTTCATTTTTCATTTTTGATTTTAAGTGTAATTACATCACCTCAGTTTCGGAATCTGAATCGATGTTAAACAACAGCTACGCTATGAATATTTACCCGAATATGAACCACAAACGTATGCAGCCCTCAAGGCAGCCCATATATGCAAAAAGATGTTAGACATTTCTAATTTTTTCTTGAAAATGTTTAGATAGCCTGTCAGACTTTTGGATTGATCTTTAAATCTAAAATTCAGGTCTTTAAAACATCTTAGATCTTAGTTATACTATCAACTGGCTACTTATAACACAAGTGATAGTGATAAGAACTGATTAAAGGGTGCCACAACACCTAGAATCTTGACTATTTTCGCTTTCCCTGCGGAGGGGAAAAGAATACTCCCGCCGTTAGGATTGCCTGTCGTAAGAGGCGACTAAAATCCCCCAGTGCCAGTCTGGCACTTATGCAAGAAGTGTAAATGGTAGTGAGTTGAGGTCTGCAACTTGCGACATCTGACCAGAAATGATGCTATCTGGTACTTCGGGGGTCAGTGGCCCGCAGCTTCGGCTGTACTGACCATTGGCGTTGGCTTCGAAGTGGGTGTTTGGTTGATACCCAAACTCACGCGAGAAGAATGTTTTGCTTGTCATTCATTCGGTGTGGAGTGCGTTTCAAACCGAGTGCTGCAGCCCAAATTGTAGCAGAGGTAGTAGGTAGGCCTCGCATCTTACCAAGGTGGAAGTTATGACTTGCATGAATTTCTTCTTTGCTACCGGCGGAATAAGGAAGGCTATTCCAATGGGGCGTTGATTGACGCTTAAATTAATATGTGTGTTCAGAGCACCGTGGTATTGAGCCATCAAGGCAGGGAATCACGTAAAAAAATACTGGACTTCTTCTGACTATTTTAGCGTCTTTGAATATTTGTTCCTCACTAAATTTATTATACATTTGGACTGGACTGGCCAGTCTTCAGGTATGTCTCATTAAAATATTTTAGATGGCCGATCGATCCATTTCCAACTGATTACTTATAACCGAAATGATATATTAAAGGATGCCAAACCTAGACTTGTGATTTTTGTGATTCACAATTTATTTAGTTTTTTTAAAACGATTTTAATGTCGTTGAATATTTTATACTTTTTGCATAACTAAGCAGGAAAACTTACTTTCTTTCTGATACACTTTTCACGCAAATAATTGTTGTTATTGCAAATTTAATGTTTTTTTGTACATAGCTTTTGCATTTGTATTGTTATATTATATTCTCTGTTGTGTTCGATGAAAATATTACAAACATTTTTAAGATATATCAATAAAGCTAATATTCATTACAAGTAATTGTAAATTGTAACTAATATATAAATTCCGAAAAACGCATTTCTTAACTGCATAAAAAGTATTTTCATAATGTCGAATAAATGGCAGTAGCGTTAAGCTGACATTGTAAGAAACGTTTTTGTAAAAAAAAAACATTTCCACTTTTTACCAAAAATACACTGCTATATGATTCTGATGAGGAGGAAGAAAAATAAATTTCAAATTTTATTTTTTATAAACATCTATATTTTTTTATTATGCATTAATAAATAAGAGAGTTTTTCAAACATTTATAAATCAAAATAAAAAAAAAAAAAATTTTTTTTTCAAACAATATTTTTATATTAGCAATATAATAACATGCATTTAATTTTTAATTAAATGTGTATAACTTAACTTATGCCTGACTCGAGTTACAAAGATGTTATATGTTATACAATATTTTTAAAAATATCCGTGTTATTATTAAATTTACATAAATTAATATTTGTCACAAATTTGATTGCAATTGTCTTAACTTTGTTAATTTTTTTTATAACTTTTACATTCAAATAGACTGCATATAAAGGTTATGATTTAAATATGTCAGTCTTTTGTTTTTTTTTTTTTTTGCAAACTAAGGTTACAATTTAATAAATAAACTAATAAAGTAAATAGATAATTACATTTTCTATTTTATCAACATAAGAGTGTCATATTTTTAAAATTATTAACACGTGTTTCTTAGAAAAAATAAGATATATAAATAATTTCCTTTAATATTTAGATATAACACAGTTTGTACATGAATTTAATAAATATTTTCATATTTTAAATTAAAACATTTTTTTCTTAACTTAAATGAACTAAAAATTTTTATTAGTTTATGTTTTATAAATAAACTAAAATTTATTATTACGTTTTCTAATTTCTGTCTGTTTATAATTTAAGACTAATGGCGTTTTCGATTAGTAAATCATCTGGATTCAATCTAGATTAAAATTGCACTAAATGCGCACTAAAAGGGCATTAAAAGAGCAACTCAATTGAAAAAATTACTCCAGATTTACCAATCGAAAATGTGCTATCAGTTAACTGTTTCTTATCGAAATATTTCGTTACCAAGTGCGTTCACATAGATTTTGATTTAAAATGTTATATTTTACTATCCAAAACAAATTTCGTATTTTTTCTCTTGTATTTATATTTCTATTATTAACCATGATTTTATTATTCCTATTTTGTTTGTGGAGACATTATTTGTTGCATGCTCTACAAACACATATTTTTATTCAAGATATTTTTAGAAAGCAGTTTTATTTTCTATCTTGGTTAATAATGAATAGTGGGTCCCAACTATAACCCGCAACAAAAAAAAAATCAAAAATCAATAATTGATTGTAGACATTTAACATCTTAAGAAAGAGAGAGAGGGAGATTCCATTTGTTAAAATTGTCAGTTTTATTATTAGAAATATCTAATTTACTGTAAGTCGGTCGTTTTTTAACTTTTTTGGGATAGAGTCCCTCAGGTTTTTGACTTGTTTTTTTATTTTTTCCTTTCTTTTTTCGTTTATTTTTTTTAACTAATGGATCTTGTACTGATGATACTGAAGCACGTTCAGGATTAGACACTTTTGATATAGCGCTTTCTAAACAAGGAAAGTGATTTATGTATTCTTCCTTGGCGTCTTTAACATTTAAATCATCTCTTTTATTTTCTAAAATAGCTTTTGCAAATGGATCTTTCTCATAGCTCCTTATATCAAATTCAAAAGAATTTAATAAATTTATATCTCTTACTGAGCAATCTTCTTTTTCGGCTGTATTTGAAAATTTAAAAAATTGTTCATCCATCAATATAGGTACAGCATATTGACTAGTTGGAAATATAATACTTGAAGTTATTGGATGTGTTGATATAGTACGATTTGCATCTAAATAAGAACTTCTACCAGAACCCATACCTAAAGAACGCATCATTTGTATTGATTCTTTTTCAATATCTAAGCAATCATTGTGTCCATGGCCTGCAACAACATTGTCTTCTTCAAGTGATAAATCTGGAAATTCTGGTATAATATCTGGTAACGCGGAAGAGTGATGATTGGGTTTCTTTGAATATTCCTTGAACAATTTAAAAATATGAGTACGATCAATACGTTTTTTTATATCTTCCACTTTTCTTTCTTCATTCTCTTTCCTGTTATCATTTTCTTCATTTTTTTTCTTTTCATCCCCCTCTTTCCTTCCATCCTTATTTTTTTCCATCTCTTTTTCTTTTTCCTCTATAAGTTTAATTTTCCTTACCGCATACTCAATGTGTTCTCGTGGACGCGGTGTGTAACATTTTTCTGTTTGTAAAAAACTATTATTTATATTATCTGTTACAAGTTCATCATTAAATAATGATTCCAAATCCGGTTTCCAAGCCATTTTTTGTTTAGTATTCTTTTTTTACTATTATGGTTAATATTTTCGTAATAATCTTCTATAAAATATAAAACTATAACTTAATTGTTGATATAATCAGTTAAACATATTTACAAACCACATTTGAAGAGTAAGTAACCACGTCTTCTTTTACATTTATCGCAAACTATTAATCCAAACTGTCTATACACAATATAACAAATATTAAAACAGTGACCTTTGAAGATCTAAACTCATCTGTCTCTTAGATTAAAATGAATTTAAAGATGTTGCACCAAAAAGCTCAGGAATTTATGCTAAATATTTATAGTAGAAGACAACGAAAAGAAACAAACAAAGAATTAGATAAATAGTAGAAAAACACAATTTAGTTTTAAAAAAAACTTGAAGAATTTTCTACAGAGAAATACAAACTTAATAGTTTCATTACAATCAAATGGAAATATTGACCCTATATAGATTGATTACTTTTTCATTAGATAAAGTCGATTATGAACTATATAAAATTGTGTTAATAACAAATTCTACTTGTGATGAGACATAGATTTCAATACCTTTGATGTTGAACAATTCAATGAGATGATTATAATTAATCTAATATATAGTAATAATGACTGTATAAATAATTGGGTTATTCACGCGTTCGAGTAACGAGCTCGGTAATCGAGTAAAAGTGTAAACCAATTATGCTCATCACCTGATTGTGTTGATTTGTTTTAACGTCAGCTGTTAAAACCAACTGTGTTTTAATGAATTTATAAATTATTGTGAAAACAAGAAATTCTGATATAAATATCAATATTATGCCTAAATGAAAAAGGCAAAATTGTTGACATTTTAATAAAAAGAAAAGACCAATCAGGATAAAATAGCTTAATATAATAGTAAATTTGTTACAATATAAACATTTTTTAATGTTTAATATTTAATATAATTTAATCTATACATTAGTTTTAAATATTATAGCTTAAAGTAAAATAAGCTATGTTCATTCTTGAACAACTAAAGACACTTAATGAATTATTAAAGAAATCAAAACTTTTGAATTAACGCTCTGAATACAATTTCAATTTTTTTCTACACGATTTCTCCACTAACGCCTCATTGTCTATATATTTTGACAGCTAATGTGACAAGTCTTGTTACTGAAGAAGTTAATTTATTCTTTGTTTTGTCAAATATGGACATGTTTTATTTTTTTAACACCAAATAGATATGAAATTGTAACCCTTACTCTTAAGATTACATAACCTTTACAATTAGGTTTGGTTTGGTTTCTTAAACATTAAGAATATTATTCCTTTTGGAAGAGACAAACAGTGTCATAACTGAGCATGAGAAATGAGTTCAAATGAAATTAAAAAAAAAAAAAAAATAAAAATAAAAAACAAAAAAAAATAATTATAAAAAATAATAATAAAAATAATAATAATTATAATAATAATAAAAATAATAATAATAATAATAAAAATAATAATAATAATATAATAATTAAACAATAATAATAAAATAATAAATAATAATAAAGTAATAAATAATAATAAAATAATAAATAATAATAAAATAATAATAAATAATAATAAAATAATAATAAATAATAATAAAATAATAATAAAATAAGAATAAAATAATAATAAAATAATAATAAAATAATAATAAAATAATAATACAATAATAATAAAATAATAATACAATAATAATAAAATAATAATAAATAATAATTGTGTTTGTCCTTTATTTCTTTCTTTGCTATTCAAAATCCCTCTAAATTTAATAAAATAATGATAAATAATAATAAAATAATAATAAAATAATAATAAATAATGATAAAATAATAATAAATAATAATAAAATAATAATAAATAATAATTGTGTTTGTTCTTTATTTCTTTCTTTGCTATTCAAAATCCCTCTAAATTTAATAAAATAATAATAAATAATAATAAAATAATAATAAAATAATAATAAAATAATAATAAATAATGATAAAATAATAATAAAGTAATAATAAAATAATAATAAATAATAATAAAATAATAATAAAATAATAATAAATAATGATAAAATAATAATAAATAATAATAAAATAATAATAAATAATAATTGTGTTTGTTCTTTATTTCTTTCTTTGCTATTCAAAATCCCTCTAAATTTAATAAAATAATGATAAATAATAATAAAATAATAATAATAAATAATAATAAAATAATAATAAAATAATAATAAAATAATAATAAATAATAATAAATAATAAAAAATAATAATAAAATAATAATAAAATAATGATAAAATAATAATAAATAATAATAAAATAATAATAAATAATAACAAAATAATAATAT